GCTTGGAGAGTACCTTGCCATATAATATAGGATTTATTCACAAAGTAAATAAATGTTGATTTATGCTCCTAAATTTAAAGTCAGAAATGAACAATCAACCCCAATTATTTGTATTAAAACATCAACTGAAGAATCAAGACATCAAGTATAAGAAAATAAATACATCAACGCGCAAAATTAATAAACCCATTTCATTCGCCACTCTAGAATGTACGTCATGTACAATGTAATTAAATGATCGACATTCCATGCCCCTTGCCATGTGACCGTCAAAACCAATATTGCGTTGAAATGGTTTACCTGTATTGCCGTCGATTTACTGTAAATAACATCTTCATCTTGTCCCACTGCAATCACAACAGCGTCAACGCTTGGAAATGCAGCTCCATTGTCTTCCGTCGTTTCCTCTTTCTGAAATTAGTATGTAAGCTTAGTTATTTGCCGTACGTAAGAAATCTAAGACTTCGCACGAAGTGCAACTACCCACTTTCCCTCCCAAAAACGGTACGAAATTTTTACCTTCCAGGCGTCGTAAATCCTTTTGATTCGTCGAAAAAAAGCGTCTTTGTCGAGGGAGATTTTTGAGGCCGCCATACTTTCTTGGTCGAAGTAAGCTACATTGGCAAAATGTTCGAACACAGACACTCAAAATGGCGGGAATAAAGCCCTTCTCCGTGACGTCAGGGACATTTTGACCAATCAAAATAGCGCTTATACTTAAATTTTGGGAGACTGACTGCTGACCGTCAAAATTTTGCGGTGATTCCACCTGGACCGGATTGACCGGATGTGGGATATGATGAAGAGTGATCATGAACGACACGAAATGTCTTGTACAAAGTGAGTATTTCTTTAGATTTCTTTTAATTTAATCTTTTGATTTCTCAGTTTCGTGTTTTAGGGAAGAAACATTTATCTGGGGCTTTCGCGTCGTCGCTAGATGCCCATATACGGTTAAATATCTTGCTCACGTGCGCCGGTTTGACAATGTCAACATGGTGTTTAATTGTATGTTTTGCGCCAACACGGTATTTACCAAGGTTTATTCGCTTAAAAGGTCCGATAAGAAAGTCAATCACACGTAGTCCGTGTGAAACTAGTCTCCATCAAGCACGTATCTTCATGTTTTCACACACTTGCCTTCTTTAATTTTCTTTTAGCCCTCTGCGGTGGGATCGGAGTTGGGAGGGAGGGGGGCNGTTGAGGGGACGGGATGTTAGTTGGAAACTGAAAATTAGAAACCTGAAAGTTACCAGAATACATCCTATGCAGCATGCCTCAGTTTTATGTCTACTCCTACCCAAGATGTAACAATTTCAGAACCTTGTATTGTTGATTGATAAAAGAAATATATCTGGCTACTTTTTCTGCATCAAAGGTGAGAAATGTTTCACAAGGGAGTACCTGGATTTTTGAAGACATCATGAACATACATACAAATAGTCCAAAGATATGAAAGGGCATTCAGAAGACCCTCCAAACACTTTCACGTCTAAGTCTTAGAATGCATAATTTTTGATCTTGTTATTTCGTGCTTTTTTCTTCGACTAACACCAGATAATTGCAGTGGCGGATCCAGACCTTGTTTTGATTCAGGTTTTGTTTTGCTTGCCCTGCTGGCATGGCTATTCTTCCTTCAGTGATTTTTTTTCTTTTTTTACCCAGAATAAGGGGGGCAGGCCCCTTCCCTAGATCTGCTACTGAATTGGGAAAGAACCCTTATTTACGGACTTTCCTTGCTTTGCAATAGTGCAAGTTTGGAATTTATGTCAATTAATAATGGTAATAGGACTGAGTGGAGTCCAATTCAGTCTGTAATCATACGAGTGATTAACGAAATCGGACGACCACAAAGCGGGAGTCCGATTTGGTAATCATGAGTATGATTACAGACTGAATTGGATGACACAATGTCCTGTTACCAATTAATCATAACCATTACAATTTCCCACAATTTGAAAAACAGCTTTAAATAGTCATTTTTAAATATCTTAATTAAGAATTTGGGAATAGCTTGCAAAATGGCTGTCAAGTTTCTTTCAAAACAGTCACAGGAAACTAAACCTCCACAATTTTACAAAGTCAGTCTCTTGAATTGGTTACTATAGTGACTGTAATCAATGTTATGATTGGTTCATGTAACTATCCAATTACAGCCAACTCTCCGATTACACTGTCCAATTACAACTTTGCAGAAAAATTAGAGCAAAATACACCAGTTTATGCACCAATCACATGTGAGGAAATTGTAATTGTTATGATTAAGGTTGTAATAGCTAAGAATATTTCAGGTCTGAACAATTGGCCTACAGATGTGAGTAAGCATGAGATTATAGTTTTTGACTACTGAACTGGCAGGGAGGAGTTGAAGGGTGCATGTATATGTGGCACTGGTCAGTCAAGAGACTCATTTATTACCCAATGTGGATTGCTTAGCCAGATTCTGTGATTGGTTAGATTACAGATTTTGGACACTTTACAATTGAAATTTGCACATGTTGACAACTCATACTGCCAGGTCATTTATTGCAAATTTGCAAAATCTTTCAACATAACGTGTTGTTAGAATGATCATGATTTCTAGCATACTGTCTTTGAACATAATCTTGTGTCACTAGATGAAAAGAAGAATTTAGAAGCTATGCTTGCAATCTTTGGTTAATAAGCAAGATATTTTCAGAATTCTACAGAATGGCTTAGTAAGAGTTGGTCTGTCATTTGCTCTTTATGTACCTATACCTGTAAAAGAACTTAGCCAATCATTCCTTGTTGGGCGCTGTCATCTCTTTGCTGCTTATAGGATGGACTGGAAGGTTCATTACAATGTGGCTTAATTTAATTTGTCAACAGTATAAAGTCAGAGATAATGGGGAGTTTGAGATATAGTTCAGCCCCTATTAAATGGTTTCCCTTGGGGAAATAGATAGTGGCCACTTAAAAGGGGTTGGCCACTTAATAGAGGTAAAAGCAATAGAAAAATCGTCATTGGGACTTTGATTACTGGCCACCTAATAGCGATGGCCTTTTAATAGGTGGTCACTTAATAGGGGTTGGACTGTAGCTGATTGGAAATGACTCAAAAGTATATCCATGTGAAAATAATTTGAGTATGAGATACATGTACTGGGGACTTTGAGACAACCGAGTTTGAGATAGCGAGGTTTTACTGTAATTACAAGTGGGGTGATTGGCAGCATCGAGATAAAGACTTAATGCTACCTGCGAGAACACGTCTGCTCTAATCATGATTTTTTTAACCCCACTCCACCTGACAAGGGAGCCTACAAATATCCACAAGTAGATTTAAGGGTATGGAATGCAGAGCCCCACATCCCCTTTCAATAGGGTGTGGCACTGACCCTTAAGACTAC